GGAAGGATCACTGGTGAGATGTGGAAGGAGAGAGAGAAAGAAGAAAATGTTTCCCTGAGGAACAAAAAACTCATAACTGTTGAGTTGTTTCCAACTCATAGCTACCTTTCCATTGGTGTCTAAGGCTAGAAATCCCAACTCAGGAGGCTGTCCACCTTTCCTCCAATAAACTCCTGGTGTGTTTGGACTGCCAGAGAGTGGCAGCCTCGGGGTTAACAGTGCAATTTCTTATGGGCTCCACCAGCGGCGTTTTCCGAAACACATGTTGTTTTAGACAATGTCAGCATAGATGGCTTTGCAAACTCTGTACATGAGCAGGGTTTGGTAACCAAAAGCACCTGTGTTTGGCTTATGGACTGCACATAATGAAAGTCAGTGCAGAGACAAACCAGGACAAAAAAACTCCATCTTCATGAGCTTCACTGCAACCCAAAGGCAGGTGGTATGAACCTAGCAGATGCACCTTGGGGAAAAGACTGGCAGTCTCCTCTTGTGTGATTTATAGTCTGAAACCCACTGCAGGGGCAGCTGGGAGGTGGTTCTCACTCAACAGCACAAGACAACAACTGCATGAGATAATCACAACAGCTGCCATTCATGGCCACTGTGGTTTCTCATTATCACTGATTCTTGGACTACTTCTGAAGGTACTATTACAGACGAAGGACCTGAAACTTAGGTTAAAAACATCGTCCTGGGTATTTCAGCATTAAGTGCCTTGTCTGGCATCTGAAAACAAATTTCAATGGCTTCTAAGACCACATGCAGGAACTGGAAAGAATGAGTACAAGATTCACAGGCAAAAACAAAACTCCAGAAGAGTTCAAGAAAACAGACGTAATGGAAGAAGAGGTCAGAGGCCCAACAGTCAAATACAGTGAAGTAAGCAACTTACCAGCATATTTTGTGGTGTTAGATTCATCCATGGACCAAAAGCAATAATCAAAGGCAAATACCTGGATTTAAAAAAGAAAAATACCCAAATATTAAAATTTAATTAAAAAAAAATGAATTACATTTACAGGAGTATGTTTGACTAAGGAAAAGTTATTGACAAAAGTGAGAAGGATGTCTGCTTTAAAATCC